ATTGTAAGCGACGTTTGCAGGTTGCAAAGGCATACCTAGTGTGGCCGGCTGTGGGATTCCTCCCAGAGCCGTTTGTGTCAGAGCTGGGGACTGAGCAGTGCGCAGGATGGGGGATCTTTTTAAATCTCTTACTGGCGGGGGGGGGGGGGGGGGGGAAATGAGCCCGGCGTTGGTGGGTTTTTTGTCCTTTTTTTTTTTTTTTTTGTTGGTTTGGGTTTTGGTTTTTTTTTACTTCTTGAGGTTACTGAAGTGCAGTATAATAAAAAGAAATGATCTGGGAAGCTAACTTTAGCTTTTAAATACAAGTTATTCATAAGCGGTATCCCTGGCAAATGTATAGTCAGAGCTTTAATTAAATCTCGGGGTAATAATGATATACCTCTCGGGCTCGGTGCCTCGGTTAGCCAGCCCTCAGACGTTATCCGTCAGCTTTGGAAACACGTCCCTTTGGGCTCAAGGAGTTCTGGTTAAAATTTGCAGTCTCCTTCGTTTCGGGGAGAACTCAAATCACCCCATCGGGGTGCGGTGGGGTGGGCATCGCATTATCTGTTGGGAAGCTGTGCTGTAATCCGGTTGAATGATACCGGTAATAGTGGAGAGTGTAGGTAATCTGAACCCAGCAGGAAGAAATGTGGGCTGGAAGCCACAAAGAAACTAATCTCCAGGCATTGTAATGCATTTCCTATTACAAAGGAACCCATTTTCAACCAATGTTGACATCCTGTTCCTCCTAATGGGCTGTCCCCTGTGACTTCCCTCATTCTTTTAAAATGCCTGAATACCTCCATTGTTAGCTGCACAACAGTTGGAGAATAATTTAATAGACCTTTGCAGTCTGCTGGTCTGTATAAAAGGCATTCAGTGACATATTGCGGGATTTCCATGCTGGGGCAAGGGGACTGGAAGAATTTGAGGCAAATCTCCAGGCAAAAGCGTGTCTTTTAAAACTGACTTTTAAAACGGTGTCATGCAGCGTACCCTGCTCCCTTTGTCTCACTCTTGGTTTTCTCAGCTCTTGGACTCGGGTGCATATATGTAGGGGGGTGGATTCTCCTCTTGTCCTGGTTTTAAGCCAGTGAAGTTAACTCTTGCGTTGCACTGCTGGCCACTGGGATCAGAATCGTCCTTTCTTCCTACTTGTGTACTAATCTCACTTGTGTTGAGAGATCAGTTACCAACCCCCGGTCTTATGTGTCCCTCTCCGCCTCTTTGTCTCTGTACAGATGAAGCACGCGGGAAGAACTGTGGTGTCCTAGTGCATTGCTTAGCAGGGATCAGCCGCTCGGTCACAGTGACGGTGGCCTACCTCATGCAGAAGCTCAACTTGTCCATGAACGATGCCTACGATATCGTCAAGATGAAGAAGTCCAACATTTCACCCAACTTCAACTTCATGGGTCAGCTGCTGGACTTTGAGCGGACTCTGGGGCTGAGCAGCCCCTGTGACAATCGAGTGCCGAACCAGCAGCTGTACTTCACCACCCCTTCCAACCAGAACGTCTTCCAGGTGGATTCCCTGCAGTCCACGTGAGCTCCCACTGCCTCCCTTCTCCTGTCTGTTTCATGGGATCACTCCTCAATGGTTTCTCTTTGGCAGTGATAAGGAAAACGCAGCTTTCTCTTTTTCTGGCCTCTGCGATCGAAAAGCGGCTGCCAGCGCAGGCTAGGAAAGGTTACACAGTATGGAATCGGCTATTGCGAAGGGAGGGAACACGGTGAGCTCTTTGGGAAGGACCGCGGTGACCAGGCAGCAGGTGGGCAGCACGCTCATCCCTGCTTGCACAGCGGCTTGGGTCCGAGGACTTCCAGGGAGTTAGGGTAAGGCTGGACAGGCTGAGCACGTGTTCTCTAGAGACTGGAACTGTCCTGCTTCCCTCTCTGCTTTCGGATCTGTGACACACATCTCTGTCTTCAGTGAAGACTGGTTATTTTTGTTTGTTTGTTTGTTTTGTTTAGAGGAGCCAAAGAAAGAGATTTCAGCTTAGTGTATTTGGAGTACTTGTTTGCCGGGAGCTCGGTAGTATTCTACTTGATCAATGTAAATATTTAACCTTAATTGGATTTGCAATTTTTTTGGAATTCACATGTATTCAAGAAATCAATCCAAGGGACATCTGTGTTTTTGTTCTCTTCATAAATTCTGCTTTGTTTGTTTGTTCTTTTTTTTTTTTAATTGCAAAGAATATATTTGCAGCATGCTTAATTTTATTGTTCAACTGAAGCAAGCTTTCCATGAGGGAGAAGTGGCAATGGTGAGAAGTTTGCAAATCATGTTTTGTGAGCAAATACAGTCTCTTCTTTCATATATCTTTCTTTTCCTTGTGGTGATTTTTTTTTTCTCACGCTCTTGATGTAGTTTCCACATGATATATATATTTTTTTTTAAATTAAATTAATTTTTTGCCTTACCTTTTGTAAATAGATCATCTGGGAGGAGGTTTGTCTTTGAATGCGAAAGATTTTTGATCACTTTTTAAAACTTTCAGATGTGCTAAACAGTACATTACCTCTGTACAAATTCTTCAGGGAGCTTCACCTCAAATGCAATATTTTGCGTCTTTCTTTTTTTCTTTTTTTTGTATAAAACTGGAAGTATGTGCGAGCATTTGTACCTGTGTGTACGCACAGTGAACCTGCACATGGTTGCCAATAAGGGAGAGTCTAATTCACGGTGTAAAAGTTTTAAGATGGAATTTATTATAAGAATGTAAAACCTTAAATTATTAATAAATAAATAACTATTTTTGGCTATTGAGAACCTGGCTGGTTTATTCCCCCTTTTCCCTCTGTGTGGGTGTGGTTAATTGCACATATACATATGGTTATATTTAAAGGTAATTGTTGCTATCAATAGCTTTTGTACAGCCCCTAAGACAATAAGCCTTGATTTCCCCTTTGGTCCACTGGTGCCTAAATGAATAAACAGTGCACGTGCTGGACTCTTGTCTTGCTTTGGTGAAGGGAATGCTTTTGAAGGCCTTCAGGTTATTTGCAAAATATTCTGGCATCTCTTTGCTACCCCAGGGATGCACTAGACCCTGGGCCATAAGGATTTTTGTTGGGTTTTTGTTGGGTTTGGTTTTGTGGGGGTTTTTTTTAGTGTAAAGAGCTGCTGTTTTCTGGGTTTGTTTACTAGTTTTGGCCACTCTATTACAGATGCCAGGAGATGGGTTCACGCTCTCCTTATCTGTCTGACAGGAACTCATTTCACAGAGATCCATCAACAGTCTGCAGCCTGTAAATGATTTTTCTGTTGCTGTTCAGCCACGTTGCAACTTAGCAGGTGAAGGCAAGGAGGAAAAGTCTCTAATACCCTTAGTCACCTCATATCCTCTTTGGACCCTTCAAGTAGTCCTGTCTCTGCAGAAGGAAAAAGGGGGATTATAGCCATTGCAAACTTCCTGCTGCAACTTATTTTCATTGACATCCTTCCTGATGAGAAGTGGCCCAAGGTAGGGTGGTGCCAAAATCTGTGTGCAGTACCACGGTGACGGGCTGATGCTGCAGCTGGGGCTGTCGCCTGAGGTTCTGCAGAACTGGCAGCCGGAGCCCATTTCAAGTAATTTTAGAAACTGCAAGTGTGTGAAATGAAAAGCAAACAAAACATGGGAAAAAAAGTGAGTCAGTGTCTCATGCAGTAGTGGCCTAGATTGAGTGCATAAACTGTGAAAGCAGAAGTGGGTTGCAGTTAAACTTGGCTTGTGCTAATCCAGTTTTGAATGGTTTCCGCTCTTGGCATTCCCTATGCTACTCTGTTCAAAGTGGAGATTTGCAAGCAGCTCTAGCAATTTCCTGTCCAGCTGCAGCTCAAGTGACTCCCTTGTTTTTTTTCTTTCTCTTTCTTTTTTTTTTTTTTAATACAGTCTGCGGATAATTTTAGCCAGTTTCCTCTTTGTGGATTATTAATCTGCTTTCCTTGTAGAACCTACATAGCTGCGTCCCTACTGTTCTGCTGAAGTCAACAGATGGCCTCCCTGCCACTTCCTCTCGTTTCGCTGTGGGTTTGTTGTCAGGCCACTTCTGAAATTAATAGTGTTTTCTGGCCGGCTGCCACAGGCCATTACCACAAAGGGGAAGTAACACATCTGAATAGCAGGAAGCCGGGCAGGGTCACAGCGTGAACTGAACCTGTTGAGTGCAATCGGGCCTCTCCCGTCCCGCAAGTGTAGGGCTTCTCTTCCCTCCCCCTTTTTAATACGCCTTGCAACAGAGAAGGGGCTGATGCCGAATGCCTCAGCTGTTTGCACCGGGCAAATATTTCCGGCTGAATGAGTTGCAAATGTTAATTGTGACTAGGTGCCCATTCAGGTGAGGAGGTAAAGAGCAGTGTGCAGCTATGTAGCCTAGGGGAGGAGGGAATTGGCTTTCTTTGCAAGCTGCTTTGAAAAGTTAGTGCTCACAAGGGCTTCCTGCTTCCTTCCTGCTTCACCGAATGGCTAACACCAAATGGGTACTTCTGCAATTCATCATTTTTGGGGACAACCAGGCAAAGATGACCAGTTTTGCTCAAACACACACACATACATCAGTTGGGAAGAGAACTTGTTCCAGATTTTTCCTTGAGCGAGGGCTGAACCAGGGCTGTTAGTCAGAAACCTTGGCTGAACTTGAACCAGGACTGGGCGAGAACAGCTTTGGTCACAGGCAAACCCAAACCAGAACTGGAGCCAAACCAAAACCTAGTTCAACCTCCGATTTTGCTGGGGGTGTTCACACTGATTCATGGGCTGGCTCTTAATTACAAACGGTTTGGAGGGAAAAGCGGTGAGGGCTCTCACCAGCAACGCTCAATCTCCCCACACAGGTTCCCAGGTAACTCTGCCCCAGCATAGTGAAAGGAATGGCTTATGCTACGTGAGCACTTGCCAGCTTTTCTGAAGCTGGGCTCTGCTTGCTCCTGCAGTCCCCCCCCAGCACTTGTTTCAAAATAACTTGCTGCTTCTCTCCTCTCCCTCATTTCAGCCCTTGCTGGGATAGGGCAGAGGTCTCAGCCTTCTGGGAGGGTTGGCAGCTATTACAGTTCCTTGCTGGTAAAGTAATTTGTAAAGGGAAGAATAAATCCTTTGTGCCTGTAGGGACAGGCCTGATGTGTATAGGGGAAAGGGGGGGAATATCCCTCCTTTGCAGCTAAAAAAACTGCAACCTGCTTCATATTATAATGTAGGAGTGTGAGGTACGGAATTCCTTCAGAAGCTATGGAGATATTAGCAAGGAAAACTGTACCCTCAGGAGTGATCAGAACTTTTCACACAACCCATCTGTGCCTTTAACACAAAGGGTGAAATTGTGTCCCATGGCATCCATGTCCCCTTTGCTCTGGTAAGGCCAAGGTTCCCCTCAGTGTTTGGCTTCAGATTAGCACTTTGCTTTCCATTTTCTGTGCAATAACATCGTGTAGCTCATTGCGCTGGTTCCCCTTCTTGCATTTCCTCTTTCCCGCTCACACCCTTTCAAATGACTCTATGGCCACCTTCAAAATGTCTTCCAACTCCTTCTATTTTTTGTTGTTGCCATAATTTTCTCTTTCTTCCCCTTTTTTAATGCTGCTCTTCCCCCATGCTTTCTGGTCTTCCACAGGCCTTTTCCTAAGATCCATGGTCCTTTCTTACTTTTCTTTTGTTTTCTTACCCTCTCTCTTTTCCCTGTTACTTTTGCTGTTTGTCTTAGGTTTCCGAAATCAACTCCACTTTCTCCCAGCCTTAAGCCTCCCTTCTCCTCTGTTTTCACAGTGAAAACAGGGTAAGTCTCATGGACTTGGTCAGTTGTAGTGAGCTATAGGGAAGGTGTATATGAGAGGAAGAAGTAAGAAAATACCACTGCTGTCCTCTTGCCACTTTTTAGCAGATGACCTTATTCTGCATTTCCATTCCTTGTCACTGTGTAGATTTGCCTCCGCATGGCTTCCCTGGGTCCTCTCTATATAGCGCCCAGCACTCCGCTGCTGCTAGCAGGGAAGGCAGGCATGAGGAAGCAGCCTTTCCTCGGGGCCCATCCAGCCTCACAGGGCACTGACTCCCTTCTGAGGAGCGGGGAGTGGTGAGGAAAGCGGGAAGAGACCGAAAAAGTAGCCGCCAATGGTGGTTCTGCTAGCAAAACTGAAGCCAGGCTTAACAGTTATGTCTGGAGAGCATTTCTTCAGCTTCTCTGAAAAGCTTATCCAAAAACTTTTCCCTGTTGAGAAGCGTGATGACACTTTATTCAGAGCTCCAGGAAAAACAATTGCATATGAACATTTAAACGAGGCTACAGCTTAGGCCCTCTCTCCACACGGCTATAAATCACTGAAAGCTTTGCCTGAGTGAAGATGGTGGAACAAATTGCTAAGCTCAGTTCAGTGCCCCCCTAGACCTTGAGTGTGCGTGTTCAGCATTGCTCAGTTACCCCAGGAACACAAGTATGGGTCCAGACCCCTCCGTCACACAGTAGCGCATACGAGTGACTCCTGGGACGCCAGCAAGATGCTGCATTCAAGGAAGGTGGCTGAGTTTGCTCCAAACACCTCATAGACAAAGGGAAATAAAGGCTGCCCGCTGATGTTTTCTCATGATGTGTGGTGACATTGGGGTATACGAAATCTGCCCTCCTCCCACTCCCCTCAACAGCCACAAACGGATGGTGCTGCATCATGTGTCTCCTTCCTTTGTTGCCGAATTTGAGATAAGCCTGTGCTGTAACTCAGTAGATAGCACAGACAGAAAGCTGGGATGGGAGCTGCTCTCTTTTGAGCAAAGTGCTTGTCTCTGTAAGGAAAGGAAAAAAGTGTGTTAGATGCTTTCTGTTGTTTGTTATCGTAGGGATCTGCAAGCGCTGAGGGAATTTTGGAGTGCTCACAGCCATAGCTTTTCCTCATAAGGCAAAGATGAAGGATGTTGACTTACCACAAACACAAGGAGATAATTATCAGATGGAAAGTGGGGGTATGGAGTCTGTTTAGGAAATATTTCTTAATGACAGAAGTTGCATTCAGGACTATATTTGAGAGATGCAACAGAAAGTGCGCCCTGCTCTACTTCACAGCTGCGATCCCCAGGATGCAGGAAGCACGCAGAAATGCTGGCGCTCTCCCATCCCTAGGCTGTTCCAGCACTGCAGATACCAGCGACATAAAATGTTACTACGTGGGAGGTCTGTTTACCATAACGTGGAGACCATGGTGAAGCACTTTGCTCATTTTGCCAGAGGCACAAGTGTTTTGGAAAGTCCTGCTACTGAGATCTTCCACCTCACAAATGGGCAATGTCCTTGCTTAACTCCAAGAGTTTTATTTTAATGAACTTCTCTGTTTTTCTGTTAGAGCCATGTTTTGGGGCATTACGGAAGTCTCTTTTTTTTCATCTTTTTTTCCTGCTGACCTCGACTCGGTAGGAAATAAATTCCCATCTGCAAGTGAAGCCATCTGAAAAACATATTGATGGCTGACACTTGGTTTACTCAGGGCAAAAGTTCTTTATAGTTTAAAGGTGGTGTATCTCCCTTTGCTGGGAAATGATGTCCTTACAAAAACAGACTGGAAGCACTAGTATTCAGTATTTGTGAAAACACATTAGCTGTTCATTTGGTAGGTTGGACACCCAAATGATGTAAATCAGCATAGCAGCAGAGTCTACCAGTGGAGGCTCCAAGCTGCAGACTGGTCATTGTAACGCTCTTGAACCCCCTGAAGATGTTATCTGCCTCTATATAGAGATAATTAGGGACATCAGTGATTTTTGTAGATCCTTTTCCCTGCACACAGTAATATTATAGAATTCTGAA